GTTATCAGTATCCCGAGTCGTGCGGCGTTTTTTGGGGGGGCGAGGAAGCCTAAAAAAGAAAAGCCAGAGGAGTATGTATTAGGCGGAGGAGGAGGCGTGAAGCGGCGCGCGACCATGACGCTTTGCCCGCGCGGGCGGAGTCAGCGGCGGGCGCGAGCCCTCCGTCTCCGGCTGGCTCTGGCTGTCCTGTCATCGGTCTGGGTGTGGTTTTGCAGCAGGGGTACCGTTAGCAGGAAACCAAGCTCCCAGTCCGTTTTTTACTTTAAGGCGAAACAAAGAAACAAAAACAACCCCCGCGAGCGCAGCCTCTTTTTTTTTGGAAACGTTCTCTCCGTAGTCAAAGAGAAAAAGTAGCGTTTTTGCTTCCTGGCGACGGGAGGCCGTTTGTTTGGCGCCGTTGTTCTGATGGGAAAAAGTTTTCCGCTGGTTTCCGAAACGACCCCTCTGATTTATTAACTTTATTTAAGAATAAAAAGCCGAGCCGGACGCAGAAAAGAGCCAAGATGCCGAAAACGGTAAGACGAAGCCTCTCTATCCTTTTCTTTTCTTGTCTTTATCTCAGTCTTTGTTTCCATGTAAAAGTGAAGGGGGGTGGGGTGTGTGTGTGGGGGGGGGGGGTGCTTCATTATGCTACTCCGTACTTTGATTTAAGTGCCTTTACTGAACGCATAAAGTAAGTCTTAATGGGGTTTTAATGGCTTTTACATCCGTTTAAAGTCGCAAGAGGATTTCTGTTGTACTTTCCGTTAAGCGTGTGCGCGTGCGCGCTCCCGCCCCTGCGTTCATCAAAATTAGCGCCTTTAATCAAACGGTTCATTCAAGCCTTCAGACTTAAAGCTGAGCGTAAATAGCGACTGTAAATGTCCCCCCCACGCCGCCCAGGACCCCCAAATCTCACTCCTTTTTCTGGGTCTCAAAGCGGATGTGTGGCCTACAGTAGCAGCCGAGCTAGCCCTCCTTTTCAAGGCCTCCTCATCCACCTCCAACCAGGAGGAATTTGAACTGTCAATTACGCCAGCTGTGTGGTCCAAATCTGGGGGAGAGAGAGAGGAGAGGAGAGAGGAGAGGGGGGGAAATGGGTGGCACAAGAAAAAGAGAAGGAAAAAAATGTGATGGTCATGAAAGGAATAGTCCCCCCGAAAAAAAGCTCCACGGAGCTGAGCTGGTACCAGAGGGGCTCATCACAAAGAGAGGCAGGGGGACTCACACAAAGACAAGTCTGTGAGGCAGACAGCCGAAAAAAGGCTCGACCTAAAGTGCCTCCAGCAGCTGATGCCAGAGTCTCAAACCCGATCCCTGAAGAAGCAACGCCCCGAACTGGAAGAGCTCAGCTCTGCAGAGAGATATCTGAGAATAAGATAACGTGGTTATCGGACTATGAGAGAGGTCTCCGTCTTTTCTGGCTTTTTGCCAGTCTGAGATAACCACGTGCACAATCTGGCCTTTAGAGGAACATGATGCCAGTAAAAGGTACAACAAATACGAACAGGACGACATGTAAACGAGGCAAAAACCTGCTCTACTTGTCAACGAAAGCTCTTTTCGATGACGTGTTATCGAGCTTTTCTGATTTGGCAAGACTTTGGGCGCCTATAGTTGAATAGAAAATCAGTTATTTTAAGGGTTTAGCTGCTAATTCTAAATTTAATAGTTTCACCGATCACTCAGGGGTTCGTTTTTCACCAGAAACATACGGAACATTTAAAAGTACAAATGGCTCCAGGTCATGTACCTGGTCTTTTCCTGTAGTATTGTTCCTGGTACTTCCTCAACATTCTTTCCAGCTGTCACCCAGAATAAAATGTTGCGCATTGTTACTCCTAACATAAACTTTGGGCAGCTATTTTTGATGTCAGTTGTTACACAATCTTTTTTATTTATTTTTTATTTTGCCACTATATTACCATGGTGTGTTACTAGATTCTAATCAATGAATAGGCTTTTTAAAAATTATTTAACTTAGGGAGGACTCTTGTTGATGTTCGAAACTATTTGTGATACATTATTAGTATCAGATAACCCTAAAATAGAGAGTATTAAGCTTTAAGTCCTTTACAGAGCTGTCTATGGAGTGAAGTTGGGATGCTGAACCCCGACTAAATCAGTTTGCAGCTTCTGAAATAACAGCCGAGGGCCTCGAACGCCTCCAAAAGAAGCTGTGCGAAAAAAATCTGTTCAAAGGGAGAAAGGTGCAGATATGTTGTGGCCAAAGCGGTTTAGGACAAAATAGATGGTTAAGAGGAAGCAGCGAAACTTTCTCAAAATAAACAAAGGATTGTGGCTTTGGGGATTTAATAATAAGCGGTGTGCTGCCAGCACTAAACGTGGTATGAACTGAGACTGATTCTGTCCCATTTGTAGGAAATCTGTGCTCCCAAAAAAGTTCTTTAAAAAAAGGTTGAAAATCAGAGCTACCATTGCAACACTCTGCTGTGGCGCCATGTCAACATTCAGCCGAACAGGTGAATGAAAATGGGAACTTGGACTCTCAGATATAGCTCGTGCTCCAAAACCCGCTCGAAATCGGAGAAAGGTGGAATTAAATTAACACCAAGCAGGAACAGGGAAGGCACAATTTGTGGAGACTTTCCCATTAACTCCAGATTTATTTCTCCGTTTATTTCAAATGAAAATGCTCTTTATTTTTCTAGTGTTTTAAGTGGTATATTAAAGAAAGATAATGCTTAATAAAATGAATGGTTATTGAGAAACCCGGACTTTTTGGACCGCTCCTTGGCTCTGCTTCAGTTTCCCAAGGAAGTCTTGTTGTGACTCAAGGTTTCTGCAGTTACATCAGTTCCTTTCTGGTAATTTCCTCGCCTGCAGCCTTATATGGACTTTCACATTACAGTCTGGCTTTACTCCTCCCTGTTTCCCCCAGCGTGGTCCTCAGCTGCCATGCTTCACTTTAGATCGCATTATAGCAGCACAGCCAGCACAGAACAGGGTTTATTTATCTGTTTATTCCTCTTGTATTCTGTTTATTTTCATCCAGATTCATGTTTTCAGTACATAATCTAAAACCCTTTCCTGGTTACAGCTTATTACTTGTTTTTTTAGGAAGTACCACCAATTCACTCCAAATTACATTTGAATTGAAATAGATGTTTTTTTTATCCTCTCATTGAAGGATTTTGAAATACCATATTTGGTTTCATTTCTTCAAACATAAGCACACAGAGAGAAGTGTTTTTTTTTCAACTCCCTTAAACATTGAAAAAAAAATCGTCCTCATTTTGCTATCTACTGTTTGAACAATAGAGCCGTATCGGTGTTGATACAGCAGACCAACGGCATGTTTATAGTCAGTTTTTCTATCAACAAACACAGAAATTTCCAGTTATTATCAGACTTAACTTGAGCATAACTCACCATTTTAGCCCAAACATGTAGAAATCAAGGCAGACTTGGTTGTGTTGTTAGGAGGACCAGCCTTTTAACAAGTGTGGCTATGGCGACATGCTAAATGGAAAGACCTGGAGGTATGCAAGCAGGAGATTAAACGGGTCCGTTGTGCACATAGCAGAGCAGATTAAGGTTGTGTGGAGCTGGAGGTGGTGGACAATCTGCAAACAGAAGTTCTGGTGTTTTTACATAAACCATTTTCCTTCCATTTTTTGGTACTGAGAAAAAGCTGAAAAGTTCAGAAAGTAAGTACTCTGTTGTTGGTTGTGTTGTTGGTCATTAATGGTTATGTTTCTAGTTAAAACTCATGATAATTTTTAAAGTTTATTAGATTCTAGTTCACCATAAAAGGGGTTGCCATGAAAGTGGAAGCTATTAGTTCAAGGCATCGCAATGAACTTTTGAAAGCAAGTACAATTCAAATCGCAATTAGCTTTATTACTCACCCTCTAACCTGATCAAATCTGTAACTATCTTCAAATAGACCACACTTGTGAAAGAGGTAGTGGATTTATTTACTGTGTGACTGAACAATTAGTTGAGCAATGTAGAGATTATTACACCTATTTCTATAAATGTCTATTGATGTGTAGATGAGATATCTTTGTTATTCTGTCTTTGTGATCGTTTCTAAAGACATTACATCTGTAGTTTGAGTAACATGACAAACAAATCCTGCATAGAAACAACAGTGTGGTAGCTGGATTTGTGCCACCTGGGTCAGGTTTGTAACAGCATTGTCTGTTCTCATCATAAACTACAAACTCGCCTTTTCATAATGCCTACATTAGGGAGATTGTTGCTAAAAGACCCTAAAAGAAATTGTGTGTACAGTCACCTGCTGTGACAGAAACCCCCCCCCCATCCCTCCCTCTTCCTGTAACTCGGTCTGAACTCGGCAGTGTGCCGTCTTCATCGCAGAGCAAATAAGCACCGACACTCGAGTGGAAACTGAGCAGCACAGAGGAGATGTTGATGCTCAGCTTAGACCTGAAAACGGTTCCCCAGCTTCAGCCGTACCTGTTATTTTCCCTTCAGAGGATATGAACTTCCCCCATGGTTTCTTTTGTGTTATCGGCTTAAGGCTGGCCTCGTATAACTTGTTCTCACCTGACTGTTCTGACTCTGACCTCCACATTTTGAATGTCAGATAAGCTGCATATCGGGCCGTTTCCCTGGTTACGGAGATGATTGACGACTGAGGAGTTGTTGTTTTAAGCCGTGACCTGGTCTGAATGTTATAGATGACCAGGTTCGGGTTTCTCAGCTGTTTACATCGTGTTCTGTTCCTAGTTAAGTACATTTTGCTTATCATACTCGGAGCCGGGGACTTTCTGCTCCGTCGACCTGTAGAATGACATTTCTCCACAGTCAGCCTGCCGATTGGTTCCTTCTGGTTCCTAAAACCACTTGCCGTTATCTTCTTTGCTGCCCTTGCTTGAGTTAGAAAGATGGCGGTGAGCCGCACGCTGAGATAACGCTGTTGTGTGGACGAATGCCTTCCACTGCTCCCTTTGAATTTTAACTCTAAGAAGTTATCTGTAACAAACATAGCATAAAATGGCTCTTGATCAGAATGAAATAAAAAAAGATGATAAACTGAGCATGCTCTGTATCTTTGAACCCAGCTTTTACAAAAAAACAAACAGTAAACCCATATTTCCACATGGTGTTTGACAGACTGAGAGTGAACTGGATAATGAATTAACATTCCTACAGAAATTATCACCACAAATGGAATTTCAAATGAGTCAGACAGGAATGTTATTTTCAACCATTTCCACTTAATTTCCAGGATAAATTCTTCACAAAAATGTTAACATCGCATTCTGAAATGATATCCATTTTTCATTATCCTCTAATATTACTTGCTAGGATTGGATAAGGTAACATTTCCCTTTTTTACGAATGAGGTACAAAAGCGGTTTTCCTTCGCTCTCTTTTATTTGACTGAGGTGAGAAGAGCAGGTTTGATAAACCAAAGAGTCGCAGACTGTCTGGTTTCCATTTAGTTTGTCATATCAGTAGCAGACGGCTGCATGGATGAGGCAAAGGAAGCACCGAAGATACAGACACAAAGAAAGCTACATGAAACAGGCCGGGAGCGACAAACTGAAAGGTGCTCTGAAAGTTATCTTATAGATACGATACGTTTAATGAAAGGTTTGATCAAAGTTAAAGACTTTTTTCCTGGAGTATCATTCTGGTTCTAACAGCAGTTGAGAAGGAGTCATGGAAAAATGGCTCATAGGTCTGAGAGTGGTGTTTTCTCAGCATGAGCTAATAATAGCGCCCAAAGTGTTTTTGAGTTCAGGCCATGAGAGACACACCCAAACCAGCCAGAAAATTTAGATGCTCAGTTCCCCTTTCATGTGAGATTCTCATCTCCGACCCCGGAAATGAAACCTGCGGGCGGGTAACGAGCTGAACTCTTATCTGCAGATCGGCTTGGCTCAGAGGGGCTGGTTAAAATTTTACAGTGTATAAATACTCCCCACAGCTATGCTGGAGGCTTTGCCAGGTCCAGACTGAAGGTTTCACTCTGACTTTTAGCTGCTGGGGATGACAGGAAGTGACAAAAGGAGAAAGTGTCCTGAGCAGTAAATGGGGTCCTGCTGACATGGATGGGAAAGAACGCAACTCTAATCAGGAAAATAATGCATACCATTGTTGTTCAGGCCAGGCGTGGGCCTCTGCCTGCACAGTTATTTCCCAATAGGCATGCATGCTGCTGTTTTCATCATCTCTTAGAGGAGAGAGAAAGTGAGAGATTCCTGCCTGGTCAGCTCACTAAGCACAGCCATTTTTAACACAGGGTAACCTCTGTGGGGGAGGCCCAAAGGTTATATGGATGCATTTTAACGTTTTTTTGTAATACTCAGCGCATTTAAAGGCATTTCAAAAAGGTAGCAAAACAACCAGAGGTTTCAAATGTTACAGCCAGCTGAAAACGATCTGCTCTGTTCTCAGTGTTAACCACTACTTACCATTGCTAGCTGCAGACAGGTTTCTTTATACATGACAGGATGTCGAAGGCTCATGAGAGATCAGTGTTTAGCCGCCTTGCCTCACAAGGCCCAGTCACCAGAGGATGTGGTTACTTCCTGTAGATAAAGTTCTATACTGAGTCAGAGCCAGATTGGCACATTTGTTATACCCTGAGACAAAGTCTTTAGAGAATTCTGCTCGCATTGTGTCTAAATGTAAAGAATAATAGAGCGGTGGTCTGACTGGCTGCTTTTGAGCCGGAGAGCTGACGGCATTGTGGAGCTGGCATGGTCTATTTGTGGGTGCAGACTTGTGAAAACACCCACAACATTTTGATGTGAAAACACATTTTGTGCTTTTGCTTGTAAAGTCCCACATGATTATGATAGTTTATAGAGTTTTTGATCGTTCTGATGAGACAGAGCTCCTTTAATAACATAAATAGTTTAACAGCTCCATTACATGAACTAAAAACATTAGTGGATTATTAAAGTGATTCCTACCAGAAGCATCTGCAGTCTCTGTTGTGTTTTTCAAATGAAGAGAATTAGCTTTGTCTATGTTTCGTTGGGATCATATGATTTTTTTTTTCCCCTCCACAGATCAGTGTAAGAGTCACCACAATGGATGCTGAGCTGGAATTTGCCATTCAGCCCAACACAACAGGAAAGCAGCTCTTTGACCAGGTACGAGAAATGTCCTCTTCTGACCGGTTTAGTGAGCTCCTTTGTACTCTAAAATTAGGCTGTTGATAGTTTCATTGACGATTTGTCTTGTTTAGCATGTGATTTAGTATATTTTACCTTTAGTCATAGTAAGGATTTTAAATTCAGAAAGTGGTACAGAGTAGCTCTAAAAGCAAAGGGTACACCGCTTTCCTTTTCACAAAGTGGGAGTAACCAGCGGGGCACTTGGATGGATTCAATAGTCAGGAGGGCACATACCAGGTCAAAAGGGCTGAGATGTTGTCAGTAAAAAAGGCCAGTGCTCTACCGGGAGGCTCTTCCATCCATCAACCCACTCTATTCCTATTATTCTGTCGGGGGTGGGGTGAGAGAATCCCTTCCATGCATATTTTGGTGTGTGGGAGTGTTCAGCTGATCTCCCACAGCTTCAGGGAGAACATGCTAACTCCAGACCCCAACAAGCTATGAGAGACATCCCAGTAAAATGTCCTTTTCTTGTCTCAAAGGTGGTGAAGACCATTGGGCTGCGAGAGGTTTGGTACTTTGGGCTCCAGTATCAGGATACGAAGGGCTTCTCTACGTGGCTGAAGCTCAACAAGAAGGCGAGCTCCTTTGCATTTTACTCTCCTCTTTGTCTCTTTGTCAAGACGGAGCAGCCCGTTTGATTTAAAATCTGCCTGTGTTTTGCTTTAGGTGACTGCCCAGGATGTGAGGAAGGAAAGCCCGTTGCTGTTTAAGTTCCGCGCCAAGTTCTTCCCCGAGGATGTTTCGGAGGAGTTAATCCAGGATGCCACGCAGCGGCTGTTCTTCCTGCAGGTGAAGGAAGGAATCCTTAACGACGACATCTACTGCCCCCCGGAGACCGCCGTGCTGCTGGCCTCCTACGCCGTGCAGGCCAAGTTCGCCGACTACAACAAGGAGGTCCACACGCCGGGATACCTGAACAGTGAGCACCTGCTCCCCCAGAGGTCAGCTGAACTTCACCGTTTAGCGTCTCCACCCGATGGGGGCTGAGTGGTGTTACTCTGAATGACTCTGAATTTTCATCTCTGCAGAGTTCTGGATCAGCACAAGCTCAACAAGGAGCAATGGGAGGAGAGGATCCAGGTGTGGCACGAGGAGCACAAGGGCATGATCAGGTAGCAGCTCACCGTTTGCCTCCGTTCACACTAACAAACAGACGGGAGAGTTTCCCTTTGTGAAAGTTTAGTCTTTCACAATCTAAGCTAAATATACTCACCGGCATATTCGCATTGCACCACGAATGGTTAGAAATAGAACTTGTCACTAGGTTCCCACTTAATACGAACCACTATAGAAAGATGTTTCTGGAGTTTTCTCTGTTCTTTTGCTTAAATTTAGTGGCGCCTCTTGTGTGTCCACAGGGAGGAATCCATGATGGAATATCTGAAAATTGCTCAGGATCTGGAGATGTATGGAGTCAACTACTTCAGCATTAAGAATAAGAAAGGAACAGAGCTGTGGCTGGGGGTGGATGCCTTGGGTCTTAACATTTATGAACAGAATGATAAGTAAGTGATTCCAAATCAGCGTGGCCGATTGTTGCCCAATGACTTCCCGTTGACCAGCTTTGCACTTTCTCTAACAGAATGACGCCCAAAATCGGATTTCCTTGGAGTGAAATAAGGAACATTTCCTTTAACGACAAGAAGTTTGTTATCAAACCAATTGACAAGAAAGCACCTGTACGTTAACTCTTAGTAGAGAGAAATAGCTTGTCACCTTCAGGAATGCAACGTTATTAACACAATGACACGATCTGCTGCTGAAATTGTAGGACTTTGTATTCTACGCTCCGAGACTGCGCATCAACAAGCGCATTCTGGCCCTGTGCATGGGAAACCACGAGCTGTACATGCGCCGCCGCAAACCCGACACCATCGAGGTGCAGCAGATGAAGGCCCAGGCCCGGGAGGAGAAGAACCACAAAAAGATGGAGAGGCAAGCATGTTCAAAGATCAAACACGTGGACCATAAGAACATTTGGTGGCGTGAGATCAGGATGTTGCCTGCAAACCTACCAAACATGTTATAACCACAGTGTGAAATGGTAGTCTAGAGCAAAGGGAGGTGGTTTGAAATACCTCATGAACTGGTTCATTTGTGGGGGGTTGTTTGTGCAACCTCTGTGCTGTGACCTGAAACTCAAAAACACATCCTCTAATGGGACTTATCAGTTACTTTGATCCCCCGGTTCGATGTGAAAAAGATTAAAGCAACGCTCCTTATTCTGTTTCCACTAGAGCTCTGCTGGAGAACGAAAAGAGGAAACGAGAGGTTGCCGAGAAGGAGAAGGAGAAGATCGAAAAGGAGAAGGAGGAATTAATGGAGCGATTAAAACAGATTGAGGAGCAGACGAAAAAAGCCCAGCAGGGTGGGTGTCCTGTCAGAGCAGGAGCAATATTTGACATGGAGCATTAAGGAGTCACACAGGACACCTGTCTGAATTGCTGAGTGTGTGTGTGTCTGTTTGTGTGTGTGCACAGAGCTGGAGGAGCAAACGCAAAGAGCCCTGGAGCTGGAGCTGGAGAGGAAGCGGGCTGATGAGGAGGCTCAGCGCCTGGAGTCGGAGCTGAAGGGGGCTGAGGACGCCAAGATGGCGCTGCTGCAGCAGTCAGAGAGTCAGATGAAGAACCAGGAACACCTGGTGAGTTCCAGCCCCGGTAAACAAATATCCAGCGATGTGATGCTTGAAAAATGAGAGTGTTTCTTATTGCAAATATCGAGCAAAGTTAATCGTAATGAAACATTGTCTTCTTAGGCTACAGAGTTGGCTGAACTGACTTCAAAGATTTCCCTGCTGGAAGATGCCAAGAAGAAGAAGGAGGAGGAGGCATCACAGTGGCAAGAGAAGGCATGATATTACTTCTTACTTCTTTTACTTGAATTTCTACTGTGAACTGACATGAATATTCTTCTAACGTCAGCCTATAACTGAAGAAAAGCCCTGTATTCAGTCAACTTGTGAAAAAAACAGGAAGTTTCGGTTCAAACACAGTCGCTCGGCTCTACTTCCTCCTCCTTAAAATAATACTTTACTGCCACCAAGTGGTGAGGAGTGAGAAGGCAGTAGTCAGATTACGATCAATCACATCCACCATGTTGATACAATACGACATGAATGTTACGTTGGTTTTAGGTTTATTCTTTTAAAACATTCAAAGAAAAAGCCACAAACAGAAAGATTTGATGGGCTTTTAAAGAGCCTGTGTTTTTACAGCTGTGGTTAACACTCCTGCTGGTTGTCTTAGGCCACGCTGGTGCAGGAAGACCTGGAGAAGACCAAAGAGGAGCTCAAGAACAAAGTGATGTCCGCCCACGTTCAGGAGCCCCTCAACGCGGAGAACGAGCACGACGAGAACGACGAGGACAGCGCCGAGGCCAGCGCCGAGTTCACCTCCGCCGCCACGTACAAGGACCGCAGCGAGGAGGAGAGGATGACCGAGGCCGAGAAGAACGAGCGCCTGCAGAAACACCTACTGGTGAGTCCTAACCCTCTTTTCCCCGGATAGTTAATCTCAGCTTTAAATCGGAGAGCGGCACACCCACACACATCCACGTTTAGAAGCCGTTTTTCCTCAAACTGAATTGAATTGCAGACAATTGTGTGTGTTATTGAATGTGTATTTCAGTTAGTAAATGTTGGATGCCCCACCGTCCAGCTTAAGGAGGAGAGGAACAGGTGGTTTACTGGTTTACAGCTGGTAAACCAGTAAACAACTGGTTTACCATCAGCTCACCATCTGTGACTGCCCGTTGAAGCTGAGGGATTTATACAAGATTTGGAGCAGCATATGCTCCATTCAAATTACTTTCATATTTAGCCTGGGAGGTCTTTGTTTATTTCAGAAAACAAGCTTTTGTATTTCATCAGCATGACTCCACATCCGAGGAATCCAGGTGCTAAACCGGCTTGTCTGCAGGCCCAAACTTTCACCCTGAACTATTGTCTAACTTAAATCTTAAATAAAGCAAGAAGTGGGAAAGTATTTTACTTGTGAAACTCCTGTGGGTTTCCAAAGTTCCCAAACACTCACAGACTATACTATAACTATAAAGTGATGCAACACAGTGGTAAACATGCCTCTCCCAACTCCTTAAAAATTCTTTCTGGCATCAAATTCCAGACTCCGATTATCTGTCAAAAACAGTTACATTTCCCTGTCTCAACATTTGTTAATATCTTCAATTTAATGAGATTTAATACTGGAAAAGAAGTTAGGAAAGATGCCGTTAACCCTTATTAGAGCATGTTGGCAGACAGGATTTATCCTCAGATGTTCATTTCTGACTGTGTTTTTCAGGCTCTAAGCTCGGAGCTGGCCAACGCTCGGGATGAGACCAAGAAGACGGTGAACGACATGATCCACGCAGAGAACATGCGGGCGGGACGCGACAAGTACAAGACCCTCCGACAGATCCGGTCAGGAAACACCAAACAGCGCATCGACGAGTTTGAGTGCATGTGAGGTGTCCCGCCTCACGCCAGCTGTCCTCTCTCCACCCAAACATATCCGGTCCGCAGCACCACGGGCGGCTAAAGCACAGCTCTTTGTTCACATGGGGATCTGGGACATTTCCGTGGTCGTTCATTCTTAAATTTAAATTTAGGCAAGTCTCCGGCTGAAAAGGGACATACTGTTTTGTGGCTGTACATTCTGGATAAGAGGGTTTATGTAGCTTATTAGCAAAGGGGTTCACATCTCATTTTTTGTGACAAATTGAGCTCTTTTTTCCCCTACTAGTTTTATGTCATGATTTTTTTTTAAAAAGAACAAGGCTCGGACCTGAATCCAAATTCGGCACAACTTGGAAATGAATAGTTCTGCTGTACGCAAGCAACGGTTCTTCATAGCAAGCTGGAAATGTTTTAGACTGTGCTTCTCCTCCTCATGATGCTTCCCAGTCGCATGGTAGTCTGCACAAGCGAACACGTATATGCCTCTCCAATGTCTGCGAGGAGCATTTATAAAGCAGTATTATTATTATTATTGTTATTATTATGTTTTCCTCAGATTTAAAATAGTTTTACTTTTCATTTGACTGCTTCCACAATCTGTCGACTGTTACAAAATCATACAGTATTTGCAAACCAACCATAATGTGATATTAAAGATTTCATTTCCATTTAGATGTTTTTGTCTGTTTTTGTCTGTTTTTTTCTTTTTTTTCTTTAGGCCACTTTGCAAATGCAAAGCCTCAAATGTAAAGCTCGAATCAATTTGTTAACGTCTTTGTAGACAAAATGCCTTTTCTTTTTCTAAACTTAACTATTGTAGCATCATGTAGACAACGAAAATGGAATGAAAAAATACTCGATGAGGAGCTGTTTTTTAGCATTTAGACACTGAAGAAGAAAAGTTAGAATATTACATGCCAAATTAATTGTGACTTTAATGTGTTAGTTGCTGTGTTTTTCTATCCAGAATCGAGTTATCAGTCACTGAAGTCAGTTTTTAATTTAAATATCTGGTCAGGACCTTTGTAGTTGATTGTAGTGTAGATCAATGATTGTTTCTCTGGTCTGATATAAGCAGTAATCAAAAGGAATGTCACTATTTGTGACCATTTAGCTTCTTTGGTGAAAACAATGTCACATTTAAACGTTAAAGTTGTGGTTGGATTTTGTTTTTTCACAAGAAGCCTACGTATTCCCTCAGAACGGTCAAATGAACAAGATAAATACATTTCATGCAGCATGCACTGGAAAGTTATAGTTTACCTTTAAAAAACTAGCCTAAACATGCATTCACAGGCGGCACTTTTCCCACAGGCCTTTTTGCTAGACTGTACGTATTTAATTACATTTGTGTATTTTGTAATTGGGATTTTTCACACATGATGAATTATGTACAGTGACAGAGACGTCTGAGGATATTTTTGTATAACAAGAATCTGGAAAAGATTGTCGATAAATGAAAAGGAATAGGATGTTGGGATTTAACCGATTGAAGAACGAGCACCCGATTCTGTCATAGGACCCGTGATCCTGAATCTGGTGTGCCGTCTCGCTGATGCCGGTCAAGAAGGGAAATTTTTGAAGTACCAAAAGAATTTTGTATCACAAAGAAAAAAAAAGTTCTTCCTGGTACCCCTGTTCCATTTGGTTTAGATGATCTTGAGTGGTGTGGCGGCTTTCTTACTTGTTCATAGAGTTTTAGAAACTAGCATTTGACAGATTTATTTACACTATTTTTCAAGTATGAAAATGTATGTTAGTTATAAATATTTCCGGTTATTTTATTTCCATTCTGTACCGAGGTGCGTTTTTATGCACAACCTGAGCTCTTTGCTGCTTATACTTTATGTATCTGCTGTGAGGTTTAAAGGAAGAAAATCATCAAAATTGTTTTTTTGGACATCTCTTCGAGCCTTGGAAAGCCACTGTTACAATCCTGCACGGTTTTATTCCTGTAATTGTGCCATAATTTGTGCAGATTTATTAAAAGGTGCCACATAGTATGTTGTCTTGAGTCCTGATAAAGATTGTAAAATGACAGACTGTGCCTTGCCTGGTTTAGTAATCAGATTGTCTTTCCTCTGAAATTGTTCCTTTCGTCAATTAATAAAAGTTTGGATAAAGTGCTTATTTTTTTGTATTTCGTTCTCTATTCTGCATCAATCCATGATATCAATCCCATGGAGAACATTTTTAATGATGCCATGTCTCCTCAACATCCACAAGGTGGCTCACTGCGAGTGGCCAAGTCATCTAAGGCCCAAATAAATGGAGACACAACATCTCCACAATCCAGCAAAACAATATTCTATCACTTGGATTTTTAGTAGAAATGTCATTGTAAGATTAAGTGAAGATGTATGCACCATAACATGCTTGAATGAGTTTATTCAACATTAAAAAAGCGATAAAAAACCTGGCTCTGCCCCACGTCAGGGCCGGAAAACTCGGGTATTCGAGTTCTGTTGTCCTTCAGGTTTCAGCTTCCGATTTAATGGATCTCTATGTTTTCTGAACTCTGCACAGGTCCGCTAAAGTGATATGGACGTAAAGCTGGAAAACATCTCACACCTGGAGGTCTGCAGCCTTAAAGGAGTCCTACATAAAAACCACCGAGACTCACACAACATGTCAAAAGTTATGTTTGCAAATGGTGTTGCTGCAAACAGTAAACTCTGAGATACCCCCCGGTCTATTTTTCCTTAAATGCCACACACAGCATTGTCACAGAAACCCTGTTAGGAGCGCTCAAGTTCAGTTTTTCAAAACTCAAATCTACTTCAAACCACCTGGAGACTGACAGGCCGCTGAGTTGAGGAAGGCGGCGTTGTGCAGAATGCAGAAGCCATCTGCTTCTCAGAGACTTTTGCAGAGCTACACGCTCCTACAGCCCTGTGTGTCATTAAAACGTCGTAAACCAAGTGGAGCCAGAGTCTTGCACTCTAGAAAGAGCATTAATCTACCTATGCTAGCCCAGTATTAATTGGTAAGTCAACTTTACATTTTCAGTTGTTTTATCTTTTTTGTAACAGGAAATTGGACAACCCCAAATACCAAAAGGACGGGTCTTTTCTTGTTTTTTTTCTAATCTACAACTTCCGCATATATTTGTGGTATTAGCGGCCCGAAACGGGTGTTGAAATGGTTAACGTGATGAACTGCCACTGCGAGATAAGCTGCAATCGCTCTTCCTGTATGTCCGAGGCTCAGAGTATACCTCAGCATTTTAAACACAACGATTTAGAGCGGATCCCCGACTGAATCCATAACTACACAATGCCTCTTTGCCATCTTTGTAAACCTTTCCAGTGTTATCAAAGTGAGACAAGTGCCCAGAGGTTGGTCAAAAGGAAACACAGAGAGGGGAAAAGGTGCTTTTAAAAAGAGTTTTCACTCAGGATTTATCTTTCTTTTTCTCTGTATCATGATGAGTTTTCCGTCTGAAATGCATGAAGGAGCTCTCACCATGTTGGACTTGGGAGTTGTTCAGAGATGTGTCAGGCCTTCCTCCTCAAAGTAATTATTTTAATGTTGACGTGTGGATTGCATTGTTCACACCCTTTGAATGTAGATATCTGCAAGTGGACTCATAAGTAAAACGTAAGATGTCTCGATGGAAGCAGGATTTCCCAGAACTTCTGGGTTCTGATGTGACACATCAAAAAGTTGAGTTTGAACAAAACGGTACCTGTTTTAAAGGCCTGTTGTCTTTTTTTTTTAGAGATATTTGTAGACTTACATGAAAAAAGGACATCTTATTGAGGACTGAATGGGTCACAACGCTTAAGATCTTCATTTGTTCTGAAGTCCTCTCAAACTCCATTTTACACATGCATAAGAGTTGTTTCATTTTCATGAAAAATACTTTGTCTGAAGTATAACTTTAAAAAATCCTGCACTTCTGAAGAAGTAGTTAAAGGTAATTACAGGTCCACACATTTGACACAACTTCAACTTTAGGCTTCTGCTACTGAACAATGACAGTCTTTTAAAAATCCATTCTCAAGCCTATGTGACTTCATATAGCTGTTTGTGGAGTTTTTTTACTTTTTGTTGGAGGCAGAAAATGGACTCTTACAGTAGCTAGAAAGAGGCGCTTGACATGGACTTGTACAACATATCCACGAACTGTTGGCATATTGAGCAATCTATCTGTGAAACAAACTGAAAAATAAACATTGCATCAAAAGCATTTGGCATTAATTTAGACCTATCTGAGTTTAATCTACATGGAAAATATCACTTTTTTGCATGGATTAGCAATGGACATTCAGAGTTTGTAGTTATTTTCCTCATAAACTGTCTACCAAGCACAGCCCCCCTTTTCTCCTTTTTTTAACTGTTGTTTCCTCCCTGTTGCTGCTAAGACATAATGTTAAATTCATAACAGACCACTCTGTTGCCCTCTGACCTACACTTTCATTAGATAATGTTTTGTGTTGGATCTCCGGCCCTTAGAAAAACCCCGCCGTACAGTTGTAGCTGCAGAGAGAAGTCCCATGCTGCTTCAGCCCACAGTGACACGGGGAAGTTACACAGAAATGTGTATTTAGTGCTCAAGTTGGAGGGAAAAACGTGAGTAAAACGAAGTAACTTGGCCACAAAAGCGTCTGAGAGAAATAAATGATCAGTTGCACCACGAGTGGCAGCATCTGGGTAATAGGGCGACGGATGTGTGTGACATTTCTGATATTAAAAAGAAAAACTAACCTAAAAAAAACAGCACCGTCTTGCACTTTGACACTCTGTTTGACACACAGAGTAAATAATGTTCGGTAGGTTTTAGCATAAAGAAAATAAGATCTTGTGATCTTGTGCCGTAGCCATAACTAATCACATTAAAACTTTCCTCTAAGTCTCACACGGGAGTTTGACAGAAAAAATTTCAAACTTTGCACATATAGTTCTGTCTCTGCACCCCGAAAGGAAGAAACACAGATGCCACAAGGCGAGCAAAACTGTTGAATATGTCTCGGAAAAAAACCTTTATCTCACAAACTGTGAGCCATTAAAGCCTTCAACAGCATTTCACAACCGTGACATGTTGACACTTCGTTTCCACATATTTCCTGAGAGCTAGCTTTGCAGTTATCTTCCTTGTTTTGACTTCCTCTTCGCTGTGTCGAGGCTCAGTGGTCAAACGAACCGTCCTGTGCGCCGTGTCATCATTCGTGAAGATCCAGAGGACAGAAGAGGGGCTGCTCTGGAGGCTCAGCAGGTAATAAATCACCTCCAACTTCCCTCACGGGACTTTTTTGTTTCAGTAAAACTTGCCACACGTGTAACCAGGAGTGTGATTGTGTGCCGGGGATGTGATTGTGCGTTCAGGCTGGTCCCAGCGTTGTGTTCATCTGCTCCACAGGGCCCGTCTGTGTCGGGTTTTTTCGGGATCCGGCCCCCCACTTCGTGTATTTGACAAGCTGAGTTGGACACTCTGTATCAGGAAGTGTCAGTTTGTCAAATACCCCAAGTGAGGTGTCACTATTCAACGAACGAGGGTCGCTCCACATCCCGGGGAAACGACGAGGACCAAAACCAAAGAAAAGCTCAAAACACTTTCTAATGTTTTTTTTTTTTTAAGCACTGTTATATCACCAAAAGAAAGTAATTTTTTGGCCACGTGGATCCAGTTGTACTTGTTTAAATGATGACATAATGATCTTTTCTCAGAAGAAAAAAGGTGGATCCATTCAGGTTTTTTGCAACCTGATCGTTTATAGATTTACTGAATGTGATGTTTGATGTGATTTTGGGGACCAAAATGAAAAAACCTACCATTGGTTTTTTGATGCTATCATCTGCTAAGAAAACTGTTCCAAAATGCTAAGACGTGTAAAATCAGACTGTGGCTAAACAAAGAAAAATAAAGTGAACCTTGTGGCCTTCCATTGATTTGGTTTTTGTTTGTAATTGTACCTTATACCATGATCTGTAATGAATGTACATGGAGAGGTGAATGAAATTAAGTTTGGAGCCTAAAAAGTTCAACAGATTCCAGCTAATTGTCCAACTGACTCCTCAAAGACGGCACTTATCGGGACAACTTGCATTTCCTGTAAAAAAAAAAAAACCATCTTGACCTAACATTCTCAATAACTCTGCCCTGTTTCAGCAAACCAAAGTATTGCAGGTGCGGTTTTATTGCAATAAAGGTTTTGAAAAGTCCCTAATTGCATAATTTCAACGGCCAACACAAACTATCTGATGCTGAAGGATATTTGCCTCCTTCCTGCTGATACTGTGTGAATAGACTGGTATCAAAAGCTTTGAGTCAGACGTAGTAATTTTTGTTTTTACAATTATTAAAGCTATCCAGTTCTGGAGAACACTGTATCTGTCAAAGATTTCCAGCAATGCCATTTAATACGTCATTTAATACGTTTGTTTTTACTCAGAGATGACATGATAATGAGTACTGCTTTGGCTTTGAAATGTCCCAGTTTTCTTTCTATAGTCCTTCCGTTCAGTAAAGACACAAAGCTGAAATGTTAAATGTTAAAGTTGATTGCAGCACAAAAAAAAACAAAAAAACTCAAGCCAAAACTGTCTCGATGATTGATTACTTTAATTCTTTTTGAAGGTTGTCCAAATGTCACATCGTGCTGCACATAGCGACCAGGTTGTGTCTGGTTTCCAAGGCTTTTGGTTATGTTTATAAATGTAGATTTGACTGGAGCAGGACTTCATCACATATAACCCAAAGGTTAGCTTCCCTCATAAAGACGTGAACAACAGAATTTCCTATTGAAAAAGTGAGTGATTCTCAACTAAATGTTTTTCATAAATTCAAAAATTTGAACAAACAGTGGTTGATGTTTATTCTCAGGCTGTTCCACATTCTGGGTGAAAAAAGTTAATAATAAAAATAAAATAAATAAAATAAATAAAAAATAAACTGATTTGAAATAATCAAATGAAACCTTTAAAACTGCATCATATCAGTAACTGAAAAAGTGTCACAGTCAAACAGACCTTTCAGTCTTTCAAACATTCACTGAGAGCTTTTTCTGCATCTGTGGCTTCACTCACACTTGAAATTACACCATTTCCTTTTTTTTCTTTTCTTTTCTTCTTTTCTTCACTCGGTTGCTGTTATTCATTTCGCCCAGTAAGTGGAGGCAGTGCTCCATTCTTTGATTCACACTTGGGGTCAGTATCACATCAAAGATGATGC